TTTATATAGGTAAAAGAAAACTTAGGAAATAAGAAAACAATAAAAGTGTCTTCCTTGAAATCAACCATGGTAGTTAAGTTGACTTCCAGTAACGAGACGCGTGATTTCGAGGCTTGTAAATGAAGTCAATCTTTTGTAATCACCAACATCATCCTCGACTCTCGTATGTTGACTCTCGAAATACGCTCTTTGCTTTGACTGATCGCCCATAAATTCTGCAATGTTTTCCCGAAGTTCTTGGCTCGTGCTCCCGAGATCGGCTCAATCGGAACGTAAAGCTCATCCTCATGCTCGTTATTGGAATTTGTCCTTGAGCTCGTATCAACTTATAATGTCTTTCACATCATCATCGGGAATACAACGACGGAAAATCCCATCCAAACCTCTCTTGAACAGAAAGGGGTCGTCCCAAAAATAACTCCTAACATCGCGGAGGAATTTCTTCCGTCTGTTATAAATGAGTTCAGGAGGAGTTACCTTTGATACCAAGTAATTAACAAAATCGGCGTACCATGGTGTGCCTTTGTCGATAGATATTGCCATGATCTACTCCTCACGCATAGAGTCGTCAATGGGTATCGGGTCTGGTATCTCGAGACGGGATAGATGATCAGTTATTGTGTTCTCAATACCCTTTCGATCTCTAATTTTGAGGTTGAATTCTTGTAGCAAGAGAATCCAACGAATCAACCTTGGCTTCGCATCTTTCTTCGCAAGTAGGGATCGAAGAGCAGCATGATCCAGATACACTATCACTTTCGACCCTATCAAGTAGGATCGGAACTTCTCAAAGGCATAGACAACCGCTAGCAGCTCTTTCTCCATGGTAGAGTAGTTGATCTGAGCATCATCTAAAGTCCGACTAGCGTATTAAATAGCATGGAGTTTGTTGTCTTTCCACTGACCCAAAACTACTCCGACTGCGTAATCAGAAGCATCGCACATCAGCTCAAATGGTTTCTCCCAATCCGGAGGCTGAATGATCGGAGGTAAGATCAAGGCTTTCTTCAATTGCTCAAATGCAGCGAGACACTCTCGTGTAAAGACAAAAGGGACATCTTTCCCAAGTAACTCCGTAAGAGGTCGTGATATCTTCGAGAAGTCCTTGATGAACCTCCTGTAGAATCCCGCGTGCCCGAGGAAACTGCGGATTCCTTTAACATTTACCGGTGGTGGAAGCTTGTCAATCACCCCAATCTTCGCTTTGTCTACTTCTATACCGCTAGTTGAAATCTTGTGTCCGAGTATAATCCCTTCTTGTACCATGAAATGACACTTCTGCCAATTTAATACCAGATTCGTTGTTGCACACATGTCTAACACTCGATGCAAATTGGTCAGACATACATCAAAGGAGGGTCCATGGACAGAGAAATCGTCCATAAACACCTCCATAATATCCTCTATCACATTGGAGAATATCGCTTGCATACATCTCTGGAAAGTGGCAGGTGCATTGCAAAGCCCGGAAGGCATCCGACGATATGCAAAAGTACCATAATGACACGTAAATGTGGTTTTCTCTTGGTCATTTGGGTGAATGGAGATCTGGAAGAACCCCGAATAGCCATCGAGAAAGCAAAAGTGGGAATGCAGCGCAAGACGTTCAAGCATTTGATCAATAAATGGGAGAGTGATGTACGCACGAGGAGGATGGGCAAGGGGAGTTCAACCGCAATCACCGGCTCACGGGCGTGGCTCTCGAATTCGCGGAGGAACAAGGGCAATCGAAGTGGACTTACGGTAAAACGATTCCAATCACCGGCTTACGCAAAGTGGCTCTCGAATTCGGAAACGTTTCAAAGGAATGGAGATGGAAATCAAAGTGGAGGAACCTCGGACGAACCAAGGAATGAGCCAGACCAACCGAGCTCTAAGGGGACCGTCGGACACACCGGACGGTTCACGGGCGGCGGACACACCGGCGGCTCGTAAAGGAGGCGGACAAACCAGCCAAGTCTTTAAAAGAGAGAATTCTCAAACAAAAATCAGATTAGATTGTTCAAAAGTGCTAGTGATTACAAAGCTTAGAAAGAGTTTAAGTAAACAAAGCATTAAATGCTAGCTTACATGCAGGTCTAGTCTTAATTAAGGACCAAACAACAAAATATAGCTGTTGGGACATTATATGGGCCGAAATTCTTGAGTAAATAAGGCTCATGGGCTTCACTTGGGCTTTAGGAGATGTCTTCTTCGAGTATAAGTAAGTTCCGGGTCGGATTTCGTCCGGAAAGTGAAATGTCGTCTTTGGACTCCCGGGATCCGCTAAGAATGTGATTGTCGGCCTTGGTGAGTGTGACATGAAGCGCTCGAACTCTAGCACGAGTAAGTGGTGGCTCAGCTCTAGGGTTTGCTCGGGAAGCCTCCGCGTTGTGCACGTCAAATCCCGGTCTCGCGGCTTCGAATGATCCTGTGACGTTATGATCATCCGGCAAGAGTCTTGACGCCTGATGGGCCAAGTCTTCAACATCTTCTAGAGATCCTTCCGTTAAGCTCCCGACCTCGTCCAAGCTGCTAGCTTCGATGTCCTCATCATTCCCTCCCCCTTCAGAAGATTTCGCCCTCAGTCATGACCTGCATCAAAAGAAGATAAATCAGTAACATTAAAAGTACTAGACACAGTATACTCACTCGGTAGCTCGAGGCGGTAGGCATTGTCGTTGATCTTCTCGAGTATGTGGAATGGTCCGTCTGCTCTGGGGTTTAGCTTGGACTTGCGCTTTTCTGGGAATCGTTCGGGTCGGAGGTGGAGCCATACCCAGTCGCCTTCTTTGAATTGGACATCTTTTCGTCCCTTGTTTGCTTGGCGAGTGTATTGCTCGGTCTTGTGAGCAATGTTGTCTCTAATCTTTTGATGGAGTTTCTTAACGAATTCGACTTTCCTTTCGCCGTCAAGGTTCGTAAACTCCGTATTCGGAAGAGGTATGAGATCAAACGGCGTAATTGGATTGAAGCCGTAGACTATCTCAAATGGGGAGTGCTTAGTGGCCGAATGGACCGCTCTATTGTACACAAATTCGATATGCGGTAAACACTCAACCCATCCCCCGAAATGTTTTCCGATAGTAGCTCTCAAAAGTGTGGATAATGTCCGATTGACTACTTCGGTTTGTCCATCCGTTTGAGGATGACAAGTGGTCGAAAAGACGAGCTTAGTGCCGACTCGTTTCCATAATGTCCGCCAAAAATGGCTCAGGAATTTCGAGTCACGATCTGACACGATCGTCTTTGGGAGACCACGTAGACGCACAACTTCCCAAAAGAAGAGATCCGCAATATGCTTAGCGTCATCGGTCTTAGCACATGGTATGAAATGTGCCATCTTGGAAAACCGATCCACTACAACAAAGATGGAATCCTTATGTTGTATTTTCGGCATCCCAAGCACCACGAAGTCCATCAAAATGTCTACCCAAGGTTGGGTGGCAATCGGTAGTGGCATGTAAAGACCATGAGGTTGTACTCAAGATTTTGCCTTATGACACTCGATACACTTAGCACAAAACCTCTGAATGTCCCTCTTAAGATGTGGCCAATAGAAATGCTCTTGTACGATGGCCAACGTCTTATCTACTCCGAAATGGCCAGCAAGTGCGCCGCCATGAGCCTCGCGGAGTATGACATCTCGCATCGATCCTTGTGGGATGCAAAGACGTTTTTCTCGAAAGAGGTACCCATCTTGTAGAAACAATGGGCCATAGGCACCACGACTACACTCCTTAATGATGGATTCAAAGTCCGGATTAGTCATGTATTGCTCCTTAAGGAGTTCAAATCCAAGCATCCTGGCTTCCATGACTGATATCAACGCATAGCGTCGAGACAATGCGTCGGCTACGACGTTGTCCTTCCCTTTCTTGTACTTAATGATGTAGGAAAATGTCT